CTGGGCATTCTCAGAAGAGAAAGGAGCGGGGAGGGGCCCAGCTCACCTTCCTCACTGGCCTCCTCCTCCTCTTCCTCCTCTTCTTCCTCTGTTGAATCGTCAGAGATGATTTCGACCTCCTCCTCATAGACCTCCTGGTTGGTGCTGTTATCTAGAGCCTTATCAAAGACTTCAATGCCATTCTTATAGTATTTAATGTCCCTGTCATCATCATCGCTGCCCTCATTGTCACCCTCATTGCCATCATCATCACTGCCCTCACTGTCACCTTCATTGCCATCATTATCTTCGTCATCACTGCCCTCGTCTCCATTGTCACTATCACTGCTCTCTTGGATGTTAGTGCCCTGCTGATGGTCCCCTTCTAGGTTGTCGCTGTCACCATCAGCGTTCTCATTGGTGGAATCCTCACTGTCAGAGGAGTTCTTCTCGTCTGGGTTCTCGCTGCTGTCATCTGTACTCACAGCATTGCTCTCGACCTTATTGCTGGGGCCCTCAGTATGGTCAGGGGCCTCGCTGTCACACAGGGGCTCATTGATGTCGGTTACCTCGTTATCAGTGGTCTCAAAGTAGTCGGTGGTCTCCATGAAGTCAGAGATCTTGATGTCATGGAAGGTCTCATTGTCAGTGATCTCATCAATTTCTGAGATTTCACTGAGAATGTCTTCAATGGCATAATGGTCATGAGCATCTTCCATGATCACCATTTCATATTCTTTCTTGGCTTTACTGTGGGGAAGTTTGAAGCTCAGTATAAGAATAATAGGAGAAACTGGGAAGGCAGTAGGGTACTAGGGCTTCTAAGAATGGGGGAAAGTCCCATTGCCACCCCTAACTATGTAACCTCAGGCCACTTCTGGGCATCACTGCTCATTTGTAAACAATGCATTGGATTATTTCAGTGGTCCCTTGCACCTCTATAAATACTGTGTGACTCTAGTCTGGTCTCTGCCCTATTTGAAAACAAGACAAAACAAACCCCTCTCGGGCACCAATTCTTGAATCACCTTTCCTTTCTTTCTTGCTTCCTTCTGTTTGTCCTGTAGCCACTTCCCCTCATGTAGTAGCGCACTGGATTAACCCATAGGTCGTTCTTGATAATCTGTCAAGAGAGGGGGTAAAAGAGAGAAAAGAGCCATGAGAATAAGCCCTAGCACCTAGTCACAATTTCTCAGGCACCCACGGCCAAGTCTGGCAAGGCTTTCTTTGGCAATGCCAGGAGGGGTCTCACCTCAGCAATCCTGTCAGCTTCTGGGAGGCTGTGGTTGGAAAACCAGTTGAAGAAACTTTCTCTGGTGTCATAGTTCCTGCGATGATAGGCCTGGGGTTCCTGCCCCCGGTGCCAACGTATCGGGGTAGAATGAGACACCAGCCGGCCTAGAAAAAGCGGAAGAGATGCAGAGGGAGTAGAAATGATAGTATGGGGGCCACAGATTTGTTCTGCCGCTTACCTGAGCGGTTGCGCTGGAACTCCTTGACGATCACCATGTTCGTAAAGTATGGGTTGGTCTGGAAGTACAGCTTCATTTTGTAGCCCATGGAGATGTGTCTGAGATCCTGTACCTGCTCAGGGTGGGGGTAATGGTGGTATATATCCCTTCCATGGCCCTTCCCACCCCCCCTCACCTCTAAGGACCAGATTCCTTGGCTTTCCTGCTTCGTCTGACCTGGAGATTGGTCAAGTAGCGGAAAATGTCTTCATCGCGTTGGTTGATCAAGATTGAAATTTTGGGGTGGTTGAGGAACTAATGAGTGGAGCAGTTTAGGTCAAGGATTTACTGTTCAATATGAAGGAGGGCAGAGCAAAACAGGCTGAAGCAGGAGGGTTCCTCCTATGTTTCAGCGATGTATGTGGAGTACATGAGTGCTTATGCAATATGAAGCCTCAGTGCTAGGTAGCCTTGCCATGGTTCATATTTGCTGCGTGTCTGGATGCTAAGGCTCTGTGACCATGTCCATGTGATCCTTGTCTCTTGGTGACAGGTTCACAAAATGCTATGGGTCTGGGAGCTGAAAGCCCAAGTCTAAGTACTAATGTATTTGGTTACCAAGAGCCTGTATTTACATGATGTTACATGTGTAGGTGTTGATGGTCAGTGTCCACATGATGTATAAATGGCTCTGGTGGTTTGCATGGTTAGGCCCTGTTACCTCATCCTGTGCCTGTCTGCTGAGGGCCTGTGATCATGCGACACATTTTATCATGGGCCAAGTATTTATATCTGTATAAATTCTATTAAAATGTTGAACCTATGTATTTCAAATGTTACATATATGTTTCCTGGGAATGAGCTCAACAGTCACCAATAGTGGACTGGATTCTTCCTGGTCTACCTTTTCCTTCATTTAACCACTTGACCTCCACATCCAACTGGTCTTTCTCCTGATTCTTCAGGGATTCCATCCCACTGCTCTCATTTCCCCTCTAATGGAGGGTATTGTAGACAGATTTGAGGTCTCTAGATATCTAAGCAGAGACCTCAGGCTTACAGAGCCTTGCGTGGTTTCAGCACCCTTCCTGGAGTTTATTTGCCCTCCCTCCCTCCCTTCCTCCCTCCCTCCCTTCCTCCCTTCCTCCCTCCCCCCCCCGCCCCCCCCGTCAGCTCATCACCTGTATTCCCCTCCCCCTTTTGCTGTGATCCTGTTTATCAGCTGCGTGCCTTCTCTGTTATCCCTCCCTCTTTTACTGTCTGTGATCCATTTTTTTTTTTTTTATGTTATGGTGCGACTGTTTTCCCATCTGCAGTCCAGTTTTTATGCTATTTTGCCCTCTTGCCATCCCTCTTCTACTCATTCTAGAATCTTCTAATGGGGAGTCATTCCCATCTCTGACCCTCCCCCACACCCCTTGTTTCTCTTCTGCACATCTCTCCTTCAGACATGGGCTTCTGACCCATGAGTATCGATGAGAAGGATACTGCTTTGACCCAGAAGCCTGGGATATGCTGGATGATGAGATCTCTGCGCTCCAAAAAGGGTCTTCGCATCTGGATGAATTTGCGTTTGAGACGCAAGAAGGCCTTGCCCGCCTTGATGTTCACCGCCTCCAGGTCCATTTGAATGCTCTCCAGGGCCTGCATTATGCTTTCCATCCTCTGGGCACTCCTCTCTCGGCTCTCCTTCACCTTCCTCAGCCTCCTCCTCCTCCTCCTACGCCGCCGCTGCCGCCTCCTCACACTTTCCTTTTCATCCTCATCATCATCTTCCACTATGATGATAGCCTCTTCCTTCCTCTTTGGACCGACTAACATCTGGGGCCCCCACCCCCCCAAGCTACAGGTTTCTAGGGCCTTCTGTCCAGCAAGGCTGCTGGGCTCTGCAACCTGAAAGTCAATTTCCAGACTCCCCCCAGAGGTTTCTGAAGAGGGGAATGTATCCATGATCCCTGTGGGAGGGGGGTCCCCAAATCCCGACTCTACTGCAGGATCCCAGCCGGGACACTCAGTACCCAGGGTGAAATACGCGCGGATCCCTCCCTCCTCGAGAATGACATAGGGCAGTGGTGGGGGCAGTGTGGGGCCCACCCCCCTCATGTCAGCCAGCACCTGTGCAGCCTCGGTTTCTTCCTGGGGTCTCGGACGCTGCTGGGGTGGAGGCAGGGGCAGTCGCAGGAGCGGCGGGGGTGGCGGGGGCGGCAGGTCGCGCGGACGGGGTTCCGAGCTGCTCAGGCGGGGGGTCTTGGCCGGAGGCCCCTCATCCGGGCGGTCCATGGTGACCGCGCTCAAAGCTCAGGGAATCGCGCTGGTTCTTCCGCTCTCAGACCAGGCCGTCGCCACCAGTCACACTTGAAGCGGAGCCGCCACACCTCACGCGACCAGCTCTGCTCACCACCTCGCTCTGACGTCCCCTCCCACAGCGCCTGCCCCGCTCCCACAGCGCCAGTCGCCGAGGCTCCGCCCACTCCTTGGCAAGGCGTCTGTTCTGCCCACCATTGGCTGCCGGCCTCGGAGGTGGCGTTAGCGTTCCCTCAACCCCTGCCTTCTCTCACGCAATCCGCTTGCCAACACTACACATCATCATTTTCTAATTGGCTCCCTTCGCACCTACC